GTCACATATTGACAGTGGCTCACTGATGCCAATGACATAATTACCCAGCTACATTTCTGAAAGAATGCAAAAGCATTGACATATATTTTTCCTTCCTACGATAGTCCGACGGGCAGGGCAGAAATAGATTTTGGTAGCCCGACTGGAAAAAATCACTAGCCTCGCTAGCGATTTTGCGAGCCCTGGCTTACCTCTAGAAAAAACATTTCCCATCTGTGTGTTATTCAAATTAAAAATTCAAGGCTTCAGAGTATGGGTCTTTAGCATTTCAAATCTAATTAAACGTGTATTTTCAAGAAAAGTGTAAACAGTTAATTTACAGTTGGTGCTCATCTCTCACCTTGTAATAGTTGATTAGGTTGAGGTACTGAAGTGTTGAAATAACATCTTCTTTCTTTACACTTGTGATCTCACTGATCTCACTGCAAGTACAAAGACGACACATTTCAGCTCCAAACATGCATCTATAAACATTTTTTTATAGCTCATATAAGATCCAGAATATTTGCTTACTTGATGGTAATCTGTGGTCTTTCGCCATTGTCTGGTTTAAGGTCCATAAGGATTTCCAAGATGGTCTGGGACCAGTAAGAGCGATAGGACAAGAGACCGAGATCAGAAAGCGGCTTTTCGGGAGTTCCCGTCTTCCCTTCTACTTTGGACAGCTCATAACCTGGCAGACACAAACAGATGTTTACAAGAGGTGACATGAAGACAGAAATGTTCATAACTTAAAAAACTGGCTGATGATACGACACTTACTGAACTCAATGAGCAGTTTGCCGTAACCTCTTCGCTGGTAAGGAGGCAAGGTGAGGATGCAGGCAACGTTGTAATCTTCAGTTGATTCCTTTTCCTGCACAAAGGGAAGAAAAATAATGATAAGCTTTGGAAACTCCTGCTTACATAGAGGCATATTTCCTGTTATGAGTGCACTATCACAGTGTGGAAAAAATTCTCTGCCTTATCTGTGCACCTTAGAGAAGTAGCCCACTATATGGAAGCCTTTGGAGTCGTACTCTGTCATTACGTAGAAGAGGAAAGGGTCTGTGTCGTAATACAACGTCTTGTGGTCGAGGAAACACTTTGCGAGTAAACACAGGTTCTGGGAATAGTTCTGGAAAAATATAAAAATATGTATTAACCACAAATAAACAACAATAAATATCTGGTAAATAAAAAAGAAAGAAAGAAAAGAAGCATCACACCACTAACTTTGTTTTTCCTGCCGTCGATCTCAAAGAATGAGATGGTGCCTTTGCGGTAGATCTCATTGCCTGGAGGATGCCTTAGATTACATTTGGTCTGAAAAAATAAATAAATAAAAAATAAGCCTAACAACACAAGCAATGTCAAACAATCTTAGAAGCACAGATTTCAGGTGTAAGCTGTTAACATAACCAAGGTTTAGAGAACAAAAGTCTTACCAAATGCCTCTGAAGACACTTGAGGCTTTTGAGGTACTTGAGACAGAATTCACAGAGGTAGAGGATGGGCAGCGAGGTGAGTTCCTGTGGGTATGGAGAGAAGTACCAAGGCTTCAGTCTGTGCCGTCCCAGCTCTATACACTCAATGTTCTTCATCCGAGTGACGATGTCGTCATGGCTGCGATCGGACACTAAACTGCCTGTCATGCGGGGTGCAGAGGGAATGCCATCTGAGCTGTCCTGGGAATCCTGGTGGTACAAAATGTGAACATTACACAGATGACACAATTATGCAGCAGTTATTCTCAAGTGCTTCAAATGTGTTTGAACAAAAAGCTGATTGATCACAGATTTCTTTAACAACAACAAAAAAAAGGTAATATGATTAATCAGAGTACATGTTTAGTCCAGAAAGACTAAACTTGGGTCTGAGGTAAGCAGCACCTCTGATTTATTGGACCCACTAAGGCACAGTTGAATTTGGAAAGCAACACACAATCAACGGGCAATAATAGGAAATTAAACAGACCTCTGGTGGTGGTAGAAAGACACTGGCACTTTGAGGCTTGTTATACTGCAAAACCTTTATCATCTAGCAGAAAAAGACACAAAAACACAGGCTTTAATGTGTAAAATCCAGGTTGGCTGCATGAGGAGCCCGTCAGGTTTGACTGGTGATCATAATCACAGAGACAGACATGTTAGACAGTGAATGAAGAGTGGGGTAAAGAACAAACACAAACATTCATCTCATGTGGATTTGACAGATTTGTTAATGTTTATGAAGAACCTAATGGCCACTGTCATCACCGCTGATGTGAGAGCGCTGCAGGTTGGCATAAAACATGAGAGTACAGCAGCATACATGTAGCTTGATGGAGAAAACAGAACATCCCGGGTTACACTAAACCCTCAAAAGCAGCAAACGCTGAAAATGTTTTGTCAAAAAACGTTTTTGAGACACAAAATTACAATTACAGGCTCCTGGTAAAATGTGGTGTCAGGATTCTCGGTCAGATTAATTTAAATAGGATAGTTTTGTTTTTTTAAAGAGCCACACATCAACTCAAACATAGACCCACACAGGAGAGTCAATGAAATGCTCATTGAATATTTTAAAAAGCTGCAGAATTTAGCCAGAGCTGATGCTGAAAAATAAAAATATATGAAAGCACAACATACAGTCCTCAATATTTGCCAGCATATAATATGTTATTGTGCCCATTAGCTAAAATGAAATGTATGACAAAGTAATCAAACAACCTAAATATAAATAAATAAAGAGCAAGTTCTTTTTCAAGAGGGTTGTTAAGCCAACAAGCCATAACTAAATAGCTGCAAATGTAATTCCCTGTTTTAAACACCACAATAAACACGAGCTAAGAACACATCAATACATAAAAACACACTAATGAATTGTTTTGTGGTGGTCAGAAGGGAAACAGTGGGTGAGAAATGAAAAGGGAAACACACACACACACACACACACACACACACACACACACACATAAAGGGTAAAGAAAGGGGGAAGTTAAAGAATGACAAAGCAATCTTTAAAAAAAACAAAACATTTTCATCATTATGATTGCACATGGGGTTTATAAACAAATACATGACAGCAATAATTTATCACATTTGAATCCTGTGCAGTTATGTTGACATTTTATATGGGTACAACGTTTTTTGGGGGGATAGCGATTGCTCTTTTCCTTATTTTCTGTCGTATACGCACACCTTTACAGATGTGGATAGTCAGAATAAATTTGGCCAGAGTTCAAAAGGTCAACATATGTACAAGTAATTGCTGTAAGGCAAAAGCTCACACTCTGCTTCAGACAGTTTTTCTACTCTTAAATCCACGTGATGAGAGCGGCATTCCTAAGGATATCCATGAATTAGTCATCATGGAGACCTCGTCCACCTGCTGCTCAAACATTTTTTTTTGCATGGAACAGCCAATCAAAAGAAAGCGGACTTAAACGGAGGAGAAACGAGGCTAATAATTCTCATTCCAGACAGAGGATGAACTCAGGGGCTGCACCAGGGCCCCATACAGGATAAGTAAGCATTTTTTTGAACTGTGAATCATGCGAAGCTACTTTAAAAAAGTCCAAGAATTAAAATATGGTGCTGGAAATAAGCACAATAGGTCCCCATAATAAAACAAATATGTCCTATTACAACAGTATAGACCTTGTGCAAGAACCGTGCACCAGTCTGAATGAATGTCACCAGCTGCACCGGAGAATGCTCCAGTGAGCGGACTGTGACGCTTTGCAAAATGCATTCTAATACAACTCCACAAAACCCAACACAGACAGACTCTTAACAAATTCAAAAAACGATGCGAATAACACGACCACAAACATGCAGCAAATCAAGGTAACGCACCTCGTCAGTTCCCCCACAATTAGCTTTTCTTTTCCTCCCAGGTGGAGCGGGGATGAGTCGTCGGGCGTTGCCATTCTGTTGTGAGTAGGACATTAAAAGATATTCATTAGCAAATAGGAGAAAGGAAAAAAAAAACAAAAGAGAGAGAATTTAAGTGGATTTTCTTTACCGTTGTGAGCTCATGGTCTTCACGGGACTTAAAGGTGGGCGTCTCTCTCACGGCAGGAAAAACAGCTGCCTGAGTGGCTTCAGCTGAACTTGGCAGGGAGGGCACAGGGATGACCGGGGGTACCTGAGGAGCCACGGGGGCAGGCTCTACTTTCCTCTTCTGCAGCAAACAAACAGTGTTAGAGATTCAGCTTTAAGATTGAATACAAACAAACCAAACAAAGGTGAATTTGATGGGATTTTTTTTTCCATGTCAACGTGATCAGAGGCTTGATTAAAAGCCGGGGACTCCATTTGTATTCAATGAAGAGTGACATCTTGATATCAAGATGCTTTTTCAGACAGAACTAAGACTGTGCATCTTTAATAGCCACAGCAAATCAATTTATTTCTCCAAATCTCAGATAATTTGCAGGTTAACCAATGTAAATACACCCCATTAAACCTGGTATTAAATGTGATGGCAGCAGATGGGCTTCACTTCCTATTACAAATCTTCATTTGGATACACTCTATATTAAACGTTACTTTACCTTATAGCTCTACATTAACAGTGGGATCATCACACAAGAATCACATTGACACCAGGTTTAAAAAGGTCTCAGTAATTTGTGGAGTGGGTGAATTCTACTTGTACCGGCGTGGGGAGGGTTTTGCCTCTGGAAGGAGCTGTGGCAGTTTGTACGTTGAGATCTAGACTCTTCCTCTGAATTGAACAGAAAGGAAGAGAAGGAAGCGGGTTAACACTGGGATAATTCATGTCAACCCTCAGGTTAATACTGAGGAATTCAATTCACACAAAATCCGACTAAAGGTTTAATCATAAAACGAGAGTTTCACCGTTTGAGTGGCATGTGTTTGATAAAGAAGTATTAACACAGAAATGTAAGACTGAAAAAAAGAGGATATTGATATTTTGTTAAAAACAGGGTCCTCTTTTATTTATCTATATTTTTATTGTTATTATGGCTGCATTTCCTGTGGGTAGACTGTTACAAATCAGTGCTCAAGCAGCATAAAGCACACTGCAGCTTATTAAAGTGACCATGGAAAGCTTATACCATGCATCAATGGAAGTGAACAGCAACAAACATGAAATTTACCATCATGCAGGTTTTTCTATAAAATGAATAAAAACCACACAACACAGAAATTAAGACTGACATCATTTCTTAATACTGTGAGAATTATAATTACATTGCTTTAAATGACACGTGGACTCCTTACCACTTCTCTCTCTCTCTCTCTTTCTCGCTCTCTTTCTCTCTCTCTTTCTCTCTCTCTCTCCGGAGAACTAGGACGGGAACCTGAAAGACCGTTCTTGGTTGGTGTTTTAGCATCTTTCTTGGGGAACTGAAGCTTCTTCATGTCCAGCCTTTCTGTTGTGACCCACTCATCCAGACGTTTGTTGACTTAAACACACAGACAAAGAGAGACAGAGTGGTGATTTGATGTGTGAAGGTCTTTAGCTCATAACATGACAGGAAAAGGGGTGGGGGGGGGGGGGGGATCAAAAGCTATGTGTACAAAGCTATAATTCTGAATTGATCCAAATAAGACCAAAAAAAATGAATTACTAAATAAATGCAAATCTGCTTTGCAATCTTTGATAATAACTTAATAAACAAACCTTAAAAGGTGTAATTAACCTTGGTGTATGTTTACTAAACTGGGGCTGTGAAATCTTGAGAAAAACCAAGACGACTGACACAAAATATACTCACAGTCAATGTAGTGAACATAGTAGAGCTTTCTACTAGAAACTTCCTTCACACTCAGGATTTCAGCCAGTGCTGTACAAAGCAGAGACAATCGTTGTGATGCTTTTCTATGAAACACTGTAGCTTTAACACACTTAACATTAAATACACAGGCATGTGATAAAAGTTACTGTTTACATTCCAATGCTAAAAATAAACCAAAGGTGCACAAAATCTACTTTAATGTGAGATTTTAAATGTCCTATAATGTAATTATTTATGCTGAGGTATCAGGATTATAAATTCTAAGTGCAATGCCCAATTAAATTTGGTTTAAATACCATTTGTGCTTTAATTTTTTTGTTTTTGTTGTTGTTAAAAAGGAATGTGTTAAAAAAAGATTACTATGGACCAAACTGAGTGCCAAGAGAGTAAGAGAGAAAACCTGATAAATTCGCTCTCAAATTTGTAAACATCACTGATGCCACCTGCATTTAGTACTTTTTTTCTATAAAATGTGAAACTAAGTAAAATTAAGAACTGGCAATTTAATTTCCGAGGGAGTGGCAGCAGTTTTCTTAAGTCTTCCAATTGAATTCATACACACTTTACAGCAGCATGCACCATCCGTGGCCATGGTGTTTACAGCGCTTTAACTGGAGGCCGGGGCTTCTGGTAACAACAGCTGAGCTGAGCTCCTTAGCATTAGCTTAGCATATAAAAAAAAAACGGACAATACTTACGCCATTCGTCTTCGTGTTCTTGGTTTTTACGAAGAACCGGGAGGCGACAGCCCTCCACAATCTCGACCTGTAAATAACAACACATTTATTTATACTCTGAAACCGGTCAATGTGCCTATATTAACATTATATCTTTCTTAAGCCTACCGAAGATGAGTTGTCCGCCATTTTCGTCATCTGTGCGAGGAGGAGCGGGGTGTTGTGGGAAAATGCCGGTCCACAGCAAAGATGAAATATACGGCAAGATGAAACTTCCTGAAGGAGCCGCGGAAAACCAACCCGGAAGCTAAGCGAGGGGGTGTTTCTGAAACGATTCACTTGGCATAAAAGTGTGAAAACGAAAGGTAAAATACATTTTTTTAAACTTTATTTTTTGTTAAGTAACTGAAACCAATGGAGGATTGTTTCCACCTCTAAAAAAACTAGTCAAAGCTAGTCAAAAGTTTATTTATCTCAAAATTTCGACTTAATAACTCAGTTTTGAGTTATTTTCTCAGAAGTTTGTGAGTCAAAGTTTTGAGACGATAACCTATAATTTGGACTAATGGACTGCTATTTATTTATTTATTAGTGGAAAAAGAAAGCTACTATAGGATCATAACATCTACCAAAAAGCTAACCAAAATAACATAATATTTTTTTAATAGTTAGTTTTTGTCAATTTGGTTACATTTGTCAACATAACTGGCATTAACCAGTATGTCTACTGATAAGGGGCTATCATTATGACTGAAAGCCACATGTCTGTATCAGAACATTGTACTGAGCTTAAATAATCACACAGGTACTAATTAAAAGATTAAAACAGTAGCAATGACACTGTGGAAACTAACTGAAACTAAACTGAGCTGAAAACAATAACGTGTTCAACTACCTTGAATTATTTCATTTAATTGTTATTTTTACTTAGTTTATTCAATTGCTTTTTGCACTGTTTTAAATTCATTAACCAGGTATGATTTGATTATATAGCATTACTTTGTTTGAGAAGAAGTGACCCCTTTGTTTTGATTACTAATATCTTGTCCCTTTAATTAGATGTTTTACCATCATCATAAAGTAACCTTGCGTCACATGCTTAGTTATGGGGTCAGCTCTGTTGAGGTCCACATTAGCAACCTGAGAAGCATCTGTCCAGTGAAGTTATTGCAACCTCCACCATTCTTTTCTAATGAACCTCTTGAGCCACATTTGCATTTCACTGTAATTAAATGCTAAAATTGACTGCATCCTTGATCAGGGCCTACAGATCTGCAGCTGGCTGTGTAAGAGTTTATTATGAGGTGTTTTTGAACATCATCTTCACTGTGTGGTGATAGGGAATACTCAGAGAGCCCTCCAAGCATTGAAACACCAGCTGCACTTTACAGAGCTGTAACAGCAGAGAGCCGTGTTATCATTCTCTGTCTTTGTCTTTCAAGGCCGTGTAGTTCATTAAATAAAGCTTCAGTGGGAGTTGAAGAATATTAATGCTGTGCCTCTACCACTTTTATGTGTTTTATTTATATTTCAATGCAGGTAAGAGTTCATGGGATATCGGGCCTGCTGGGATCGCCAAGCCTACCTAATGAGTTTCATCTCTGACCAGTTTATCCAACAGTGAAACACATTAGAATTTCACACTAGCAGTTACCTTCAATGACCCCATTATTCTGAGTACAGTCGTGAAGTCTAACTTGCCTTGCTTTTTCAGTTTCCTAGATTTTAGGTGAGCAAAGTGGCAGGTAGGCAGCTCCTTTACTAGCTATAATGCTGCCTTATTGGCCAGCGAGCGTGCTGATTTGTCTCAAGGTGCTAGTGCAGAGCCTTATCATCTTCAAGTTATTAAAGTCCGTTCTGAGGCTGTGCAAAACTCTCAAAGAACTTGGACAGTTAAAAACACTCTTTATGTTTTCAGTGTAACCTCCCTCTCACCCCATCAAAGCTGGGACAGAATCCAGCCCCACTACAAGTCTGAACTGGATAAGCAAAAGAAAGTGAAGGAATATCCTCTCTCTTCATGCTTTTTCATGTATTTTCTCTCTATTTTAAAAAACGAGAGTAGATTAAGTTTGAACTCTAGCTTCCTATTCAGACCCAACTAAATATTTTCCCAGTGAATGTAGAAAAAGAGCGTTTACGTTGAAGCTGCTTTTCTTTTGTCACCTTCTGCTGAGATGAGGAACGTAATTTATGACTGAACTGCTTCACCACTCTGGATAAACCCATTATGTACATCCGTGGAAACACTTCAGCCCCTCTCATCCTGCTACATTGTGCCTCTCTGCAATTACTGCCCTCCAAGTCAACAGGACTGGGGAGCTTCGGAGCTATAAAATGTGCAATAAAATGTGGAAATCATTTTCTGGTTCTTCCTGATGTTTCCTGCACGCCCCTCAGCTTTATGATTTATGTTTTAAAGCACACCCGTATTTGAAAAAGCTGTTTCAAGAGGTTTTCGCATCAATACATGGCACGAAACAGCAGCCGAGCTACTACTGGGTTACCTAAATGCCTCTAATGTAAATTTAAAGCTAAACGAGTCTTGTGAAAATGCTCATGATGAGTGTACTCCTGAGCACTGGAAAGAATCACAAATAATTAAGTGTTTGCTACTCTTCAGTGTATAAATATGGTTATGGAAAAAGTATCAGCGATCAGTGTCCGATCAAATCATCTCACAAAGAAAGGGTAAAGGTTATAAATGATCTTTAATATAATCCTCGGAACAGCGTTCAGTATACAGAACTTGCATTTTTTTTTAAATCAGAAATTAAACTCTAAGCGGAAAATTCAATAAAACAACTACCTCTAATCCCATCACACATTTTTAATAAGAGTCCAAGCTTTCTGTAGGGATAGCCTGCATATTACTCTTTACCATGTGAGTGCACAATAAGCCCGGTGGCTTCTTATGAGCAAACGGATGAAGCTGTGAAATGATTTTGCAAAGTGATAAAGAGACTGCGCAAACAGGGTGACGTCACCATGCGTTCAAGTGATATTGCATCCTGCAATTTCACTTCCATAGCTACTTCATAACGCTTACACACATCTCACATCTTCCCACACCTCATTTATAATCAGCTAATCAGGGATTCTACCAGACAAACTGACTGTACTACAGACTTTGTTAATGTGTCCTCAGAGCACTTATTTTGGTCAGAAAATTAATGGTAATATTGGACACTGCATGCACATTATGGGGGAGAAGAAGGGAGACTTGTTTTCGTCTTTGGTACCACGGGCCTTAACATCCAAGCCCCAAACTCCCCCAGACTGTCCAGTTACTTGATGACTGTTTATTGGTTGGCGTTGGAGTTGCAGTTAAGTTTCTGCTTCCAATTTAGAGAAACTTAAAACACATATCATCTGTTTTTGTAGGAAAATTGAGTTTAAACACCTTTTATTTCATTCCATGCATTTTTTCTATAATTATCCTGATATTAGAATAAATGTTATGATCCCGCTTTGGTCTTTCAGGTGACAATCTTTCTGACAATCCATTTCCCTACATTAGCTTTTGTCACTGAACACAAGCAACGAAAGCACTACAACGAAAAAATTTCAGCGTCACATTTCATGTAATTGGTCTCACAGAGTTGCCTTTGTGTGGTTATTGCACATAATAGAACCGGTAAGAAGAACATAAACCTTATAAACTGCAGGAGGTTTCATAAACATCGCGATGTGAACTATTGCTATTAATCACAGCCATCTCTGTGCTGAACAGCGAAGCAGATTAGTGATTAGTGATCTGCTCTCCAATCCAGCTGCTTCCCAAAGAGACTGCGAACCTCTTTAGCTACATAATGACATATTTGGCTCTCTGTTCTGTATCCCTGCCTTCTTCCATCCAGGACGTCTCGTACATTCGCCTCTTTTCACTCCTGATCGTGTCATCTTTAATCCGCACTAGTGACGCACACGTGGCTCCAGATGTTCTAAAAGAAATGCTCAGTGCAGAGCGGAGGATTCGCATCTCCTCAAACGTGGCGGGACAGATATGTTTGGATGAGGAAATAAAACCACTGTCCCATACTCTAAAATTTAATATCTCATAAATTTCACTTCTAAGATGATCATGCAACATCCATGTGCCGTTTTCTTCCCCCATTGCACTTTCAAGCAGCACTCGTCTTGTAGGTTTAAAAAAATAAAACTAAATACAAATAAATAAGAAAAAACAATAAAGATACACTGAAAAGTGCAAATGTACATTTGTTTACAGCATGACATACTCACTGTACAATCATTGGTTATATACTCACATTATTTGAAGTATTATAATAAGGATTACTAAGTAGCATAGTTGGAGTAAGAAATATTTCATAGCAAGTCTATTGGAAAATATTTGCATTGCCGTGTGACTAGGAGAGGCTCTTCTAAACATTGCCATGGTGATGTGTGTGTGTATGTCTGTAATGTACCTCTGCGTGTGTGTGTGTGTGTAAGAGAGAGAAATAGAGAGCCAGTATGTAGATATAAGGTGTAGTGTATGTGCAAACAAGGAAGCAGAGAAAACTCAAATCATTCTAGTTCAGAGGCACAAAAACCGCCCAGCCAGCATTTCAAGTATCTAACATTGTTTTGAACAACACGCATCTGTCAGACATCAGCAAAGCAGAGAGAAAGAGGAGGAAAGGAGGAGGGGACTTCCTTTTTCAGCTCAGGGAGGAGGCAGCTAAAGAGTCATACGAGTGGAAACAAGCATTTCAAAGAACTGTGTCAAAAGAGCGACACTGATTAGACAAACAACACTTTTTCTTCTTCTTCTTCTTCTCCTTTTTTTTTGCTATTTTTTAGCCATAATATATTCTATTGCACTTCACCTAAAATGCTATTCTGTCTGCGATGAAGACGGCCCACTGCATCAGGCTGCAAACAGCTTACTCGCTTTCACGTGTCGCTCCCAATTCACTCAATGCTTCCCGAGTTGTGGCAGAAGCAAACACGTGCAGGAGCAAGTAAGGAGTCGTTAGGGCCGGATGCGGGGCGAATCCATGTCAGTCTTTGTATAAGACACATTGCTTAACATATTCACAAGCTCTTCATCCGAGGCAAAGTGTCCCATCACTGTGAGCGCTGGGGCAGAAGGCCTGCGAAAATGGTCTCCAGCGAGGAGAGTCATCCACTGGCAGTCGATTTCTGTTCCATAAAGACAAGTCGCCACGTCGTGCATTTTGGTAAGGACACCTGACAAGATTATCCTACAGGAGAGAGAGATGAGCCCCAAAAAAGGCTTCCACTTTTCT